TTCTTTCCAGGCCAACAACCGGGCTGAATATGCTAAACTAGTGAGAGAATCGCTGGCAAGGGGGCTACAACTAGCCTACAACAAAATGAACATATTTGACCGTGATTTAATTGTAATACACGTTTCAAAAATGATGCCGAAGTAACAACATACTGATACCGGTTAGTAAAAACCATGAATTAATGCTTTGACAAGTCTGCAGACAAGACGGCAGGCGAAATACCTTTTAAAATGAGTATATCTCTGAATGGAGATCGGCTAAGCTAACGCAGTATATGCTCCGACCGTCCACACTCACAACAACGGCCTACAGACATAAATAAATCAGCGACTGTATTCGCCATGACACAGATAGTCTGTGGTTTGTACTTGTTTAACTTTTGTCTAGTTTCTGAACAGATATGAGGAGCTGTGAGTGCTAACAGCTGTGCTAACAGCTGATGTTGGTTTTCTGTGGTTCGCATTGAAGATGACATCGCGGCTCCGCCTACACTGCGTTACTATAGTTACTGCCACAGCTACTAAACTGTAATGGAAACGCAGCATATGATAAAGTAAGCCTGGCCTACCAAGGCCTAACTATACCTATGTACTAAGCCATGCGAGGCCCTGCAGTGGAAATGCGCCATTAGACACAAGAAAGGGACGAGTGAGGGAAAGGAGGATATGAAATATTCAATTGAGACAAGCCTCAGTTGTTCGTCCCACAAGTTATATGTTAACACCGGAGCCTGAGAAACTCCACCGGCGGTCATACGATGGCTTAAGGTGCCCTCACGAATGGCCCGATGTTTTTACGATCAGTACCGAATTTGAACATTTCCTTTATCGTGTGTCCATCTGGTGTCAATTTCGGGACAGTGTGACAGGGGCTTTAAAGAGACAGAAGACTAAAACAGTGCATTTCAGACAGTCGGTTTATACAACTCAGTTGGATACCTTGAGAATAATAACGTGTTAGCTGAACATTAAATCATGTGGACATGTTCTAGTGTAAACTAGAAGTCTCCTTTAAGATGCTGTTTATCGATGCAGCATCACACATTATCTAACATTGTTTTTCCCCCACAGAAGGAGAAGAATGGGCTCTTAGTGACATTTCCTGACATCTCCGTCGCCTCGTGGTTCATGAGTTTTTTAAAGGACCTCTTCACTGGCTCCAGCAGGCTCAGTATTTCCTTTGCAAACGAAGAAGGTGGAGCCCGCCCCAGAAAGTGGAGAGTAAGAAGGAAACAAAATCAATGGCACTTATAAGACTGCCTGTTAGTCGTCTGTGAACAGGATCACTGAGATTGCTGAAAAAAAACAACTTCAGCCAGCCTGATGAAAACAGCAAATTATAATAATAAATACTTGAATCTCAGCAGTCAGAAACGTTATTGCAAAATCAGGTAAATTACTAAATTGAGCAACTGAAAGGTGAATAGCTTTTAAAAAAGGCCTAGTGTAACTAACACAAAGTGCTGCAAAATAGTGACACTTGTTGCTGTATGTTGTATTTAGTAATATGGGAAATGACAGGTATATTTGAGGCTGGTAAATGAAGGCCTCAGTTTCAAACTCAGAACTTAACATTTTGTACACATTTTGGATAAAACATCTGGATACATGTTTTTACAGTTCTTTCTGGGCTTTATTTGTCAGTAAACGGTAAACTATTAAAGTCTTTTTGGGTATAACCATACCTAGCAAAGTGTCAGGTTTGTATTTGACGTTTAACTTTACCAAAACATTAATGCAATACAGACAACATAAAATAAGTCCATACCATTTTTTGTTTTTGTGAAATGTTCTTATATTGAATGGCCCTAGGAAATCATGGACCTGACAAGCTCTATTGATACAAAACGCAATGCCCCCCTGCAGTAGTGGGGTGCACCCCACAGTTTGAAAACTGCTGAGTTAGTGTTAAGTCTAAATATGCATTAACGTACAAGGTCATTGTGATCAACAGTTTACATTACATTGTTTGTATTAATTTAAATGTTATAAATATCCCTTTTATAACGGACCATAAGATCAGTGAGGTTTAAAATAAGTAGGATTAGAAGGGTTTGACAAAGTTAGTATTTACTACACTTGTTTGCATATAGAACTTAAATCCCCGTAAGGATCTTATGGGAATATTACAATCAAAACCAAGTCTCAGTGATATTTTAACTCTAAGCATTTCCTTCTAGTTCATTATTCACAATGATGGTTGCTAATTTCTCTAATTTCCCCTCCTCGACTCCTCGAATCCTCGGTTCTCCGGTAGTGACCCGGAAATGGATTTCAGCGCGCCATGTTGAAGGACATCTAATTTCTCTAAATGCACATGGAGGATCGAGCGTTGAGGAGGCTCTCTGGAGGAGCTATAATCGAGGATACACTGATGGTTCCTCCGCGGATGTATTTCCGGCAACAGTGATGTTTCAAAGAGTCGTGACGCAAGGCCTGATTTATCTTAGCCAATGACAGCTCTGCATGCATCCCCTGGATATTATTTTGTTAACTGCTTTAATCACAAAGCAATGTTTACAGTGAGAACAGCTGTGAGGTCCGTGCAGAAAGCAGAGCAGTGTGTATAATATCACGCAGTATAACAGGCCTACATTACTCTCTTTATTTGTCCCAAGTACACGGAAGGAATGAGGTATTTGCGGTCTACAATGACAGAGAAGAGACTGTCAAGTTTGGCTGTACTCAGCATTGAATCAAAACGCACTAAAGCTTTGGATCTTAATCAGTTTGTGAGGCGTTTTGCTGAAAAAGATGGTAATCGCCGCATTCAGCTGTAATAGGCATGCCAACTTGATGCTCTGCTCACGGATGACTCGATGAGCATAACAAACTGTTGTTTGATGATGATGACCTTGTATCTGTGTATTTTTTTTTTCTTTGTGGGGTTCTGCCCCCAAAAAACAGTTGTAAGTCCTGAGAAAGTCAAATAAGACGGTGTGTAAAACTTCACTGCCCAGCCAAAAAAAAGTAACCACTTTGATTTAACTAGGCCAGTAGGTAAGGACTTTCCACTGGATAATAACTGCAGCGATGTTTTAGCTGAATACACGTTTTATAAACCTAACTGATGCAGTTAGTCACTTCTTTAATGTTTGTTCTTTCTGATGTAAAGTCAAGGTTGTAACTGTTTGTAGTGAAGTCGTGGGGCGCTGAACTGTTCCTTTGAATCTTTTGAATTTTGATACATGATAGTAATTACTTGTCTTTCAAATTTGAAGGAGGGTGAGCAAGCATCTTGAGGAACATTCATCATTAACTCCTCCAAAAAATATAGTTTATTCAATAATAAATGAATATGTGAATCATAACAGTGATTGACAGCTGATAGGAATAATATTATGATTGTTAATATTATCATATTCATACAGACACACATCGATGAGACAGTTAATTAATGTACTTATTGCAGCATTCGGCATAGATTTGGTACCCCTGCTGGTCTAAGAGTGAAATAAACTCCTTCAGTTATTGTTCAGTGAAAATTCATTAAATGATGTCTGCCACCTTATATATCTCTATGTAAGGCTTTACTGATGTGCCACAATAAAGTCACCTAATGTTATTGAGTTAAAATATCAATATTGTGGCTTTCCAAGTTAACATTGATTGATATGATTGTGATTAAATCAGCATATACTTCTGCCAGGGGATGCCACCCCTCAGAATCTCCTGCCACCCCATGAATATTTGTCTAGATCCGCCCCTGTGACCTACGTTATTATGAGAGTGCTACTTGTTTGAATCTGAAATTGTATATATGTATATAAATGAATATATAAATATATATGTGTGTGTGTGTGTGTGTGTGTGTGTGTGTGTGTGTGTGTGTGTATGTGTGTTTGACCTGTCCTATATTCAACTGATTACTTCCCAGCTATCTAATATGGTTAATGTATTCACCCAGTTAAAGGGTTCTTACATCAATTTAATAGTAAACTTTCAAAAGACATTTTCTCATAACAAAGGTCAAAATCGTTTCCTTCGGCCGCACTTTGGCACAGACTCAAACTGGCCACATGCAGCTCTCTTTAGACATTTCAATACAAAGCTCCTAAATGACCCCCCGAGTTTAGGGGAATATTTAGCGTATATGACACGTAAAGAGGTATTATGCAAACTTTCAGGTTCATAATTATTTTTCTGTCTCTACTGTGACGTGTTTACATGCTTCAATGTTCAAAAATGTCTTTATTTTTCTCATACTGCCTATGCTGCAGCACCTCTTTTCACCCTCTGTCTGAAACCAGAGCCACGTCTGCTCTGATTGGTTAGCTTAGCTGGTAGACTCTGTTATGATTTATCAAACGCTTAGAGATGTCCCGCCCCTATCTTGTACAATGAGTTGGAGCGCTAGCCAAAATAATTGTGAGTGTATATAGTGATGTCACTATGTTACAGAAGTAAACAAAGGAGTCCAATGGAGGCATTTCAGTCAGGGGGGGGAGTGTGCGGGAGATAAACTCCCTCTGGAGGGAACACAGGGATTTTAGCCTTTGCAGACCATTTACATGCACTAAGACCTAACACTACAGGGAAGGGAAACCCCCAAAAGCACAACAGAGCCTCTTTAAACCTTGAGGAGGTTTATGCACCTGGGCACAGTTTCCTGCTTCACCCAGGTTTTGTTCTAGCCTTGTTGGTAACGGCCTAGTTCCCTATCTGAGTCAGTTCAGGTAATCAGTTGTATAATCTAAGGAGGAGTTTGTATAAACTAATCTAACCAATTCTACAAATGGCATGGAATTAATAACATCTAATACCTTTCATATCGCAAACTCTCACTTTGACAGTTTTCACATCTGCCTGTCTGCCATCTGCTCTACAGCCACTTCAATAATAGCTTGCAGCTGCAAAGGAAGCACTAGGGGGGTGGAAGGAAAAACCCAGAGGGGCGAGAGGTGAAGGGAGGACAGGCAGGCAGAGGGAGGAAAGTGGGAGGGAGGAAGAAGGAAGGAGGGGGCGGTGAAAGCAGAGCTGTGATGCAGACAACGAATCACATGAGCAGGGATCTGTTTACAAACTGAAGGCTGTAGATAAGTGGAGAAGAGAGAGAAGGAAAGCAATATGAGAAGCAAATACAGGAGAAGACAGGAGAGCCTGGATCTGAATTAACATCAGTCCGTTGTGTTCCTGTGTTGTTTACCTCCCTGTGTGCTTTGTTCAGAGCAGGAAGGCAGGGAAAGGGATGAGACTCTGCCCTCCACAGGAACACTGAGGCTGCCTGCCTTTCTGCTCGCCTGCTTGGCTGGCCGTGCTGCCGGGAAACACATCCATGTCCTTCCCTTTGTCTCTCCATAATTAGACTCGGCAGGATTTTCACAGCCAGAGAGGAGGAAAAGCGAGGTGGGGAGCTAAAGAAGACAGGAGAGAGGAGGAGAGGAAAGGAAGGGAGAAGAGAAAAGAAGAGGAGGAAGGGAGGGAGAGCCTCGTGACAATGTTTTGAACAGGAGGCAAAACAGAAGAGCTGGGACTGCGCCTATGACCAGAGGTACATAACCAGAGTGCTGGATGTGATTTGGAGTATATTTCCTCATACTGTCATTGGTGTTTTTTTTATCCACAAGGCTCACAGGTTCATCTACAAGATTGTTGTCTTTGTCTTTCAGTGGCTGCACACTTCATCATCACTGCACACTAAGGGTCAAATGAGGTTCAATTTTGAGTAATGTCTTCTTGAAAACTGGGAGTCTCTTATCAGATCTGCTTACTCCTGACCAGAAGTCACTGCACATCCGCTCTACTATCGGGGTTAAAGTAATCTGAACCTAGAAGGTGGTACAAAGCATGTGCTTTTGTGGTAACCAGACTTTGTGATATTGGAGAGGTCACGACCTCAAAGATTTTCTCGGTTTGCCAACCGAACATTCACATATCTGATGCATCCTGTCCAGTGGTGTAATGGTAAGTGTACTGGAACCGTTTGCACAGTTTTGATGCAAGTTCAAAGTTGGCCTAGTAATAATTGTATTGCTTACTAATCGGAGATTGAAATTCAAGCTCAACTTTAACAGAGTAGTGGCAGACAAACAAATTGTACTTTGTTTGCACTTTACCCTCCAACAGGCTTCGCTGTTTGTTTACCCAATGCAACTTATAGATACTTGCTGTCGTCACGAAGGTGTTAACATCCATGCCACACCTGTCCCTGGGTTATCTTTTTCCCTAAACCACCTTGAGATGCTTTTACACCCTTTGGTGTTACTGAGATGTCTTTCCATGCTCGCTCTGTATGCAGGGGATGGAGGCATTGATGGCTAACTAACCCTGGTTGTAGTGCTTCATCTCTAAGGAATGTCCTGTGTTCATGTTGCCGCTTCGATGTCATACTGGACATTTCTGTTTACTGCTAATGGTGCTCAGCTAATGCCACTTGCTTGACCACTGATATTCTCGGCTGGTTTGTTTCATGGTTTTGTCTGAAACAGAGGCCTCATTGTCATTTTGCTACCTGTTCAACCCAGTCTCACAGCATTTCGTGTTATAGTCACGACATTTAATTTATTGATTCGTGTTCACCAACACGATTTTCCCCTTTTTTCGTGTCACACAGAACGATTTTAAAAGCAATGTATTTCTATTGGTAGTATGTTTCGTGCCTACAACACGTCTTTTTGTCCGGTCGGGTCTTGGAAGACCGGAAGCTGTGTTGTTCATAAAAACATGTTCTTACTCAATATCAAGCCACGATTATTGTTTTTATATCAAATCTTATAATGTCGGACTTTTTTTGCCGTCTGTGAGGAAAATAAATGGGGCTCAGAGCCTCAGAATACTAAAATCTGTATTTTATTATTTTCTAAATAACACACTGTTATTTACTAAACAATAACACACAATTATCCTTGTTTTTATTTATTTGTTTAATTCTATAATCTCTGGCTTTTTTGCTGTCCGTCAGGAACTGAATTTCAAAATAAAATAACCGGAAACAGATACACACCAACTGAACTGATTACCCAAGATCCTATGGTTGAAGCTCTGTGATTGGATTGTTTAGCCGCAATGCACGTTGGGACATGGTGTTTATGCAATATGAAATCCGAAAAACATTTATTAAAAAAAAGAAAATAATACTTTAATCCCAGTGTGCTTGCTTTTCTCTTTGGAAGTCATCACATAACGGCATTGTAATACACGGTTCGGCTGCATTAAATATTACACATCTGCCGTAGTTCTTTATTTATAGAGCCCTGATTAGATGACCTTTTGACAAACTGGAAGAAATGCCGCCGAAACTGAATACGTGACGTGGATCATAAATATATCAGCAATTAAACAACATCTTCTATTTATCTTCACACAATACGTCTCCTTGCAGTATCAACACTAATTCGGCTGACTTTTATATCTGATCCAATTGGTAGATAGGCTGTATTTACCCCATAACGGTGCACAGCTGATATAAAAGGACTTGTAGTTTTTAAAGATATTACTGATTTTCTTTTAATTAAAGAATGTAAATACTGAGTTGAGAGAATAGTCAGGGGTTTTGGGTGATGGGAGACACATCTATGGATTCAGAATTTCAATAGCTTACCATTAAATGACGGATATATTCTGTCTGTGTGACACGAAAGAAATGGGAAAATCGTGTTGGTGAACACGAATCAATAGATTAAATGTCGTGACTATAACACGATATGCCGTGAGACTGGGTTGACCTGTTATGATAGTGCTACTCAGTCTGCATCACTAGCTAACACTTACTGGCTAGCTTTAGCTACATCATGACTAGCTAGCACTCGCTAATCTGGTTTGGCTCTAGCAAGGTTAGGTTCCTTTACTGGCTTATCCTAAAGTGGTCATTGTATTTTATGTTACGTTTTCATGAACTGTCCCAAGTATTTGCCATCAGGGCCAAGCGGGAATCATGCAGCCCACATCAGCTTCAGACTTTTTTAAGTCAACTTTGAAGGAAAAGGTGTGGTTTACTTTACTAGACTTAAGCACAGGTTTTAGCCTACCTGCGATAGGCTTATATTTCTCGTAAGAGGGCTATGCAAATACTTACAATACTGGAGTTACATCCAGGTTACAAATACTTTTTCCAAATAATAACATCAGGTGACTGCCAGGTGTAACTGTCAACTAACTGACAAAGCTAATGTTAGCTTGCTAATCAAAATGCTGTTAAAAAAAGAGGTTAACTGGCAATAGTTTAAATAACATGTTTCCTAGCAGACATTTACACATTACTAAAGTGTTAAAAAAATAGGACATGTTTTTTTCTCCGTATTCTAGTTAATCAGGACATGCTAATCAAACTTACCACTACATTAAGCTGCCACAACCCAATCCTAATGTATTGTTTTATGACACGATCAATAAGAACAACGATCACATTGTGTTTATGTGTTTTACAACTGATATGACCTTAAACATACTTCCAAAAACGACCTTTAAACATATTATTTTACTATTAAGTTCTTTCAGTTTCCAGCCAGAACATTTAAAGTGTAAAACCAAAGGTTCTGTTCCTGTTAAACATTATTCAGGTACAGCCCTATCCAGTCTGCATGCATTTGCACAGTGGCCTACCTTTTACCAGTCGACTATCAATGATTTACCAACATCGTGCTAAGATAACAGCTGCTTCCTCCGTCAGCCAAAACACCCCCCCCCCCTTCCCCCCCTCCCCCCCAACCCCTCAACTGTACAACTGAGTACCGCAACGTCCTGACACGTGACCCCTGTCCATTAAGAAATGACTTTTGAACCAAGGGGTCACCTCAACGGTATTAAATGTGCCACTTGACCTTAAGAAATAGCTACTGTGGTTTAAGGCTGACATGCATCATGTGGAATGAAAACTGGCATGTCAAGCCCCTCAGGCTAACAACACCCCTTTCTTCCTGAGCCTAAACTCCAGCTAGTACCTACTCTTTAGTCCAGGACGCGGTCCAAGAAGTGGAACACATTCCTGTGTGACGCAAAAGATGCTTGTAAAAGTTCACATGAAAGTGCTTTGCCGTGCTGGAGAAGTCATTTTGATGTGGGATCTATTAACTTTGTAAATATGTGTAGGGTTTCTATCCTGGTGCAGGCACTGAATATTAGGAGGATAGTAAACAAAAGTAGAAACAATTATCTGAATTCTTCCAGTTATAGACTGTTATAGCTTAACTCGGTTTGATCCGTATCACTATAGATGTTAACCATCATTTATGAAATAAAGATTTGACTACAAATTAATTTAATTAATTTGGCAGATGCTTTGTCCAAAACAACGTATAATAAGTGCTTTAAAATCACATTGAAGAAAGGGCTAGATATGAGTCAAAAATGGGAGTGTAGACCTTTTAAAACAACATGGCTCTTTCTCCCACTTACTCACTTCTTATGTGAACACAAAGTTGGATATGACGTACTTCCATGACTGTACCTCAACTTTCACCAAGTTAAACAAACGCTATGCAGCTTAAGAATCATGTCATCTGCTAAGTAGTATTACATTGCGATTTGAAATACGAGGCTTAGCAGTTGCAGTGTGGTGCATATGCGCCAGGCCTTCCAAGTTACACAGATCTGTATGCCACATCGTCGTAATAGGAGGTTTACACAGACAGGGTGCTGTATGATGGGATACCTTTGTCTAGACCAGTTTGGACAATTGAAACAAACTGGCAAGCAGAGGTTTGTGCTCGAGTCTCATATTTGATGACTTTAGACTCAATCATGAGACTTACAACTCAACTTGGACTGACCTTTTTGACTTGAAAATACTTTAAACCTGCCCCTAAAACATTTTTTTATTTAAAGCGTTCCCTAAATCCACTTATCTCCGGAATCAACCAACTTTAATACTATTCTTTCCCAGCAAGTCTACACTGAGTTCCCCAGATCAACTTTCTTTGAACTAATCTCACAGCAGCCAATCAAGTTGCAGGAAAGGACCTTGAAGATCTAACAATTCGTACTGACTGCCAGTTTGAAAAATTATACCAATATAATATTGTTCTTGTACATGACTATGGTGTGATCAACAGAAAATGAATGTGTAGTATGCAAAACGACTAACTTAGGACTCGAAACTCAAATTGTAGGACTTGGGACTTTCCTGTTATGACTTGGGACTGCATTAAAAGAATTGAGACTTACTCGTGGCTTGCAATGCAATGACTTATTGCTAATAAGAAAGATAAAAGTGAACAGAATTTCTGTACGACCTATGCTCCAATTTAAGAGTGAGAGTGTTTACTGTAAGATAATACAGCCATGCACTTGTCCCACTATCTATAAGGGGACCGTTTTGATTCTGTCAACAGTGAGATTGTCATCTTAAAAGTTGTTCTGCAATCCACAATTCCACAATGAAAAGTGAGCTTTCAGGTTTGGCCTATTTGGCTAAAGAACAAGCCCAATAATCAGATCATCCACAAAATGAAACACCAACACTACTCAAAATCCTTTATGCACACATCATTCAAACAGACACACAACATAGCTAAACCTCTCATTGCTTTCAAATGGATCAACATTCTTTAAATGCCATTTGTAAAACCCTCTGTATGCACTTTGTTTTGAAAGTCGTAAACAAATGTCTTTGTCATTTCTGCTGGGTTTCTAAATGCCACATGATGTAGGCTACATTCCTTACATGGGAATGAACTGACTGCTGCTTTGTTAACTGAGGCTATTCATGTCTAAAACATGTAATTTTCCAAATGCATTTGACCACATTAATATATACTTATTCGCATTTTTACTAACATTAGGTTTTGTTCATGAGTGCCTTGTTCTTTGTCTGAAAACAAGCTTGATTTGGTTTGGACTATAATGCCGTCATGCTATATTATATATGCTGATATGATGGATATGATGCAGTTTGATAAATAGTATTTAATTGTCAAAATTGTTATTTGTTCACTGTATGTAGGAAGCCTCCACATGAATTAATATTTGTACTAGTTTAAATACATATTTAATGGGTAGCTCACAATGCCTTTTTTCAAATGCAGTTTCAGAGGCTTTCACTCGGACAAAAATACAAATCTGAGGAAATATGGAAATTATCTGCTGCTGTTATGTATTTTTTTCCTCCCGTTGCTTTATGTTTTATGTACGCAATCAATTTTTTCCCTTTTTCATTTCTGTAATCTTTCTTTTATGTGTCCTATCCTCTCAGGGTGTCTGTGTGACGACCCCTACTGCACGATGACCTCTGAAGAGCTCTTCCACCTGCCGCTCAATGTCTACATCATCATCCTGGGCATCGGCCTCTTCATCCTCATGCTCACCCTCATCTTCTGCTGCTACCTGTTCAGGTACAACACAACAGACCTAGAGCTCCTGTACAGGATCCACACAATGTGACTATGACAGAATAATCTACTTAATTACATGACGAGTGTTAGCATGTTCCAAAAAATCATCATCCAGTCAAATTCATCCCCTGATAATGGGAGACATGATTCTAGTTTAGCTCCACAGTCCGTCAAACCTGAAATTTGCCTTGAAGGATTCTCAAAGTGTCACAGATCATTAATTTGTAAACAGAAGTCATTTTCTGGGGAAGCTCTTCTGTTGGTTGTCCCTCACCCTGCCTCAACTACGTTTACATAGTTAGTTATATTATCTTTGAACAATTTTAATGAAATACACTCAATGCAGAGACCTCTCCATGTATTGGCAGTGGCTCAGTCAGTAGGGGCTTGGACTGTGAGCCGTCGGGGTTCAAGTCCCCGACCAGACCTAAATATGGAGTGTGGACTGCTACTTGGAGAGGTCCCAGTTCACCTCTTGCCCTGCCGTGGTGCCCTTGAGCAAGGCACCGGACAACCCCCTTACCCCCCCCCCCCCCCCCCCCACACTGCTCACTGGGCGCTGTACAATAGCTGCCCACTGCTCCTAGTACTAGGCTCCTGGTAGCAGAGAACACATGTGTGTGCTGTGTGCTCTGCATGTGTGACCATTAAAGAGGGTTTCATCCCTCCCAATATTATTATTACAGAGTGCAGTCTTTCCCAGAGTTAAGGTTGTGGCCCATAATCATTTACAGAGTATTTTTCATTAGGTTACTAATCAGCAGATTGAAATGCATAACAATGATATGATTTGTGTATTCGTTTTCTCGATTTACACAGAAGTAGAGCATTATTTGTTGATGAATGGAGGGAGTTCAATGTTGACAAAGGGGCAGTACAAGTAAAAGTCATAATTTCAAAATATTGATTAAAGTGAACCTATCATACTATATTTGACAAATATATTGTAGGGCCATACCTATATAAAACATGCCTGTGAAGTTTTGTTTGCACAGATCATGCATTTTAGCCATGCCTCATTTCGCTCTATTTTCTCTTTTCCAGCCCTGTTTTCTGTGACGTAGCTTTAATGCAAATGAGCTGCAGCTGACCACCCCCCCCTGCAGGAGAGGGGGGCGTGCTCTGATCAGCTGCTGGGCTCTCAGAAGAGGGGGAGGAAAAGAAAGGCTCCGTCCTCCGTGTTTTATTCTTATATGATTATATAGAGTCGTTATTCATTTGTTTTAAAGCTCAATAAATAACAAAGAAGACCTTTGACCGGCACTTTTCTAACTTTGTCCGGAAGATTTACATTTTATTGACCGGCGAAAAAAAATCTAACTGAAACTTTGCTGCATGGTCCCCTCGTCCCTTGGAAGAGGCGGAGAGGTGGGTGTTTGTCATCTGCTGGTGGACTACCGGAGAGATTTACAGCAGCAGGAGCAAACGCTTGCCTCGGGGAGGGAGAAAAATATCCAGAGCGTCCACAGCGGAGAATAAATAGAAGGGCAACCGTGGAAACCATGCGTGGGAAGTCTTCTTTGCTGCTTTTGTGGCAGACTACAGCGCCACTTACAGGCCTGGCATATGTACTACAGCGCCTCTAGCGCTTTCGAGCGGTCTCTCATTCCCCTGATAGTTGGAGAGTTGCCCATATAGGCGGAGAACCCCTTTTCTGACGTCAGAAAAATTCAAATCTGTATCAGCTCTGTTGCAGCCCCGTTTTTAGAGATTTGGGTATGGAGGAAAAGAGAGAGGGTTGTATTTTCTGACACTTGGTGAGTTCCCTGACACACCGGGGACACATATTCATGAATAAAAGATGTACAAAAGTGCATTTTGCATGATAGGTCCCCTTTAAGTAAAAGTAGAAATGCATTAGCATAAACATTTAGAAAAAGTAAAAGTACTTCTGCACAATGGACCATTTCAGAATTCTATTAAGTACAGAATCAGTTAAATGTAATTCAAGTATCTAAAGTAAAAGTACTAGTTATTCAGAATGGATATTTTCATACTATTTTATTAGTATGGTTATTATATTATATTGTTTTTATACTTTTAAAAGTATGCTAGATGCTGGATACTGGATAGTGGATACTTGAAATATTGTGGAGATTATTAGTACAGTACTGCATTATAGCATATTGTGTCTTTCAGGTGCACAAAACACCTATGTTATAAAAATGTAGGAGAGTAAAACAATGATATTCACCTCTGACATGTCGTGGGGCAGAAATACTCAAGTAAAGTACAAATAGGTCAAAAACGTACTTAAGTACAATACTTTACTAGTTACTTTCCACCACTGGAAAGGGGTGAGAAATGGAAAGGAGTAGAACATGTTTGCTGGGGTTACGCTGGGGAGAAACTCAACGTTAGTCTCAGCTCATTACATTTGATTGTTTCTGTGACGTAGTTTAAATATTTGATGACACTCCAGGCAAGTTCACAAGTTCTTTATCGGTAGTTTATATGTGTACGTTTATGGAAATACATAATGTATATTTGTGGATTTCAGTCCCTAAGAGACAACACAATACTATTTTGGGTTTCGAGCTGATAAAGGCAGTGTCTGTTGCTAAAAGTAGATCACATGCAGTCAGCTTCGAGGATTTCTGGAAAAACCTGTTCAAGTGTTACCTGTTTTGTTGATTTGTTTGGCTTCTAGAATTAACAAATAAAAAAAGCCATTTTGTAAAGCTAGATTTATTTAGAGTTGCCTAGAATCTTTGATCCATTTATGCTTTCAACAACTTATAATCAACCTAACTGAACTGGATTACAGTCAGAATTATTCTACATGTATAAGGGCACATTCTTGAAGGTTTTACAGCCTGTTTGCGGTGAGCGTATAGATGCACAGGCTGTAACTTGAATTTTGCATTGTGTGAATTCCAGGGCTGCTTGACTCTCAGCTGATTCCTACAGCATGACGAGACATGTCGTGAGGAATACAGATGTGGAGAGTCATGCATCATATCATTTTTATGACTCTAAATGACAGCATGATACGTCTGTTTTCTGCTTCACAGACTCAGGCGAAGAGGTGCAAGAGAGCAGTATGGTTACAATGAGGTAATATGTTTATACTATATCCAGTTTGAGTTCAATTGTAATTCAAACTATTTTAATCTGCTTTTTTTATCTGGTGAAATATGCATTATGTCACAACAAGTCTCATTCTCTTCCACAGGTTATTTTGAAAGGAGCGGGGAAGAAGCTGAGCCTTATTGGGGTAAGTTGAATACAGAGAATAATAGGCTAAATCAATGTGGAATAAATGCTTTAGTGGGTTGGTGACTTGTGTCTTTAACTTGTATTCAAATTTGTTGATAGCTGCAATTTTTACTAACACATTAAATAATGTGCGTAACTACAGTGGAAACAGAAGTTTTTTTCAGTTTCTATTATTGGCAATGTTGTCCAATAATAGTGTGAAAATATAGCAGTATAATTCAAGGATTTACTGCATAATGACATCCCTATTTAACACTTGCGCTTCTATTGGCTAGCGCTCCAACACATTGTACGTGATAGGCTAAGGGGCGGGACAACTCTAAGCCATTGACCAATCACAACAGAGCCGGCCAGCTAACCAATCAGAGCAGACTGGGCTCTGGTTTCAGACAGAGGGTGAAAAACAGGCAGTATGAGAAAAATAAAGACCTTTTTGAACATTAAAGTCACAGTAGAGGCACAAAATACAAATGTGAACCTTAAAATTAACATAATATGGCCCCCTTAAAGCATCAACCAAATATGAATGATTGCTTCCTATGATATTCCTTCTAATTTACCATTCTTAGGAGACAAAAAAAGAGAAAATTAGATAGAATTTGGTTAATCACGTAAGACAATCTTGTACCAGAGATTGTTCAGAAATTATAACTTTATAAGAATAAAAACCCCAACATAGTAATACATATAAAATGTATAAGAGTTAATACGAACACAGGGCAAAATAGTAACAGAAATATGCATTTAGGGAAATAAGAAAATAAATGATTAAAACATAATCATTTATACATGACCATTACATGTATGTATGATCTGTATGTGTAATGTGTATTTGTAAAGCGCTTTGAGAGTCATTGAAAAAGCGCTATAATAAATATAAGGATTATTATTATTATTATTATAAGACACAAATACTGACTACTATTTTGAGTCATTTTGTCAAGTATTACCTGGCCATAATGAAAAGGTAAAGGGGACCCCAGCAGGTGTGCACTATTAATAGTCTTATCATAAGTTACCTTTGTCAGATGGTACTGTATATTCACTCTGGCCATTTTTAAAGGTGGCTCTGACAGTCATGTTAACGTTCTTCTGGCTGACTTATACCCGATATTATTATGTCCCGATTCAATCGTACATAATAATTTCGAAAGGACAATGAGAAAATACTAACATAGTAGTGAGTCTATAGCTTATCAATTTAATTCCAGGAAGTGAGAAAATACATACGTTTGAGTATTAAGATGAATAGGGGTTATGGCAATGATGACATTTATTTCAATTTATTCATGGAGAATTTTTACTGGTGATTATTTATGTAAAGAATCCCACAGTACAAGCAGCTGAACAAGCATTATTGCTCAGACTTTGTAAATGCTGTATACTGGCGATTCTGATTTATTTAGGATATTACCTATATATACTTTAGGTGTTGATTATGAACTGTTTTCCTAACCTGTCGTTTCTCCTTTCTAGCAAACATGTGCGGTGTGTTTAGACGAGTTCCGCAGCAGGGACGAGCTTGGAGTGTGCTCATGTTCTCACGCCTTTCACAAGAAGTAAGTTCCATATTCCTGCTTTGTATTCATCTAACAGCTGACTCCATATGTTGGTGAACTTGCAAACTGTGTTTCAAACTCCTAGTCGTAAAAAAACAGAAAAAAAACACCAGACATGATTAGTTTCTTTGGCTTTTCACAAATTGCTGGTCCTTTTTTAATAACATGAAAATATTTGTTTTCTTAACATTTTTTCAAGACATTATATGGAAAAATCTTGAGGAACCAGATTTACACACTAAATTCCCCTTCATGCTCTTTTTTATTTTATTTCTGAGCAAAAAAGATATTGAGCAAGTTTTTGAGGCTGCTCTTCAGAAAATGACGCTTAAATTCCTGACAACATTATGCTGCATGTTTGAGCATGAGCATGCTTAAAGTAACAGAGACCGGTTTTCACCCTGCAGCAGAGGTGTAACGTATAGTGTTTTCAGACAGGTCTTTCTCCACCTGTGTCAGCAGCATCTTTGAACTGTGTACAGATCCTGTATATCTGTTTGTTCAGTCCTGTTAGCATCTGTTGATGAAGAAAAACATGTTTTTTTCATACACTGGTCAAAATCATAGGTCAAAATGCACCTCTACTTGTGTATATTTAGGTGTTTGCATCTGAAGATTTCTCCTAAATTCAACAGGCCTAAACCTTACACAATGCCTCAGTTATATACTAATACACATTTAACAAAACATTTGGGATGATGTGTTCATGTTAGTAATCAACATGGTGAGGTTTCATTGTGCTTTTAGCTAAATGTTAGCCCTCATTTAGCTTTTTTGGTTTTCCCTTTCCTGTAGTTTACTATATAGGTTTTAGTGCATGTAAATGGTCTGCAAAGGCTAAAATCCCAAAGTTCCCCCCAGAGGAAGTTTCTCTCCCACACACTCCTCCATGCCTTAAACGCCTCCATTGGACTCCTTTTGACTTCCGTAACATAGGGACATAACTATGTGACATTCGCGCTTCTATTGGCTAGCGCTGCAACACATTGTACGTGATAGGCTAAGGGGCGGGACATCACTTAGTGGGCTCTGGTTTAAGACAGAGGTTGAAGAGTGTAGCTGCAGCAAAGGAAGTATGCTTTTTGAACATTAGAGACCTACCTCAGTAACTTACTTTGTCTTGCTTTTGAAATGATTAAATATGGTAACATGTCTCATCTATCTGCTTTCTTCAGGTGTCTGATGAAATGGTTAGAGATCCGCAGTGTCTGCCCCATGTGCAACAAGCCCATTTGTCGCCTCCTGCCCCCACCCCAACAAGCTCAAGAGCAGCCCCAGAGTCTCTTGGAGGTCTGACAGGGGGATGGATGTCCAGCAGCACCTTACACTCCAGTCACTTGACACCTGTCTGTCACTACTGATGGGCGCTGTTTCCCAATCCTACAGATGGTGGTTTAGGTAATGCAAACATTTTAAGACAGAGCTTCTCTGGAAGTAGAAATGATAAGTGCAGAGCCAAAAAGCCTAAAATATGTGGAGGGAGATTATAACACTAACACAGGGGTGGAAAAGGTAATAATTATCCACTAATACTTGATATGGCATATAAATAGCAGTTATTAAGGCTAACTATCAAGCCTAAATTCTGCCGTTAATCGTACAAAGCCAGTAAACTAAGTGCCTTAAAGCTGCAGATCCTCTAAATGAGAGAAACACTCGTCACACTGAGCATGTGTGTATGAAATCCCAGTTTACTCTCTATTATAGACATGCTCTTTGGGATATGGACACAATTTAGATGAAGATTTTTTTTGCCACTTGTGGTCTTTCAATCCAAACAAAACAAGTGGTCTAGGGAAGTGGTGTAGAATCATGGGAGTTGTAGTCTTCGCCACCATTGCCTTCATTTCAGTCAGCTTCTCCAGGGAGCCTAATTACTTTGAGAGGTCTCCTTCTCTTAAAGAAATGGACCAGGTGAACAATAATGTGGCTTAAAAATAGAAAAAAGCTTTTAGGAGACAACCCCAATGCTGACATTTGCACAAAGGAGTTACAATGTATGTATTTCTCTAGGTTTTTTAAGTGTTTAAAATATTTTGGATAATGTAAGTACAAAACCTGACAAAATGTGAGATAGAACTCATTGTTTTTTAGACATTTTAATGTGGAAATGTTAAAAAAATTATCTTTAACTGCCAAGCTTACAATGACTCTTGCGCCCTAACGTACAGGCATCCAAAAGCCCCTGCTCGATTCAGAGGAAATCACAAATGCTCTTCAACATTTTTCTTCAGTACTGATAGCCTTTATTATTGTTAAATCAATTATTTAAGATTGATGTAATAATCTGATGCAAAGAAACTTTTGGAGAGATAAATAAAATGATGTAACAGCATATGTGACACCAAGACAACAGCATCAGGATTTACCATTAACATCATGTCATCACCAAAAGTCGTTGGCATCATCATCAGAGTGTGAAGATGGTGTTACTGTTGCAACTCAAGTTAATATATTATTTCTGCCATCAGAGCAGCTCTGCCTCTGTGAAATGTTTATTTGACAAACACAAGTCTGCCCACTTTGACATTAGCCAAAAAATGACACGCATGCAGAGCCACAAGAAATGGAGCTTGGATAGAGGAAGATTCAAATGACGGACACCAGCTGTGAAGATATCTAAACCTCCTTTGGCTTTGTGTTGCTCCAAACTTGATCGTGCATGCAGATTTTGTGATGAAAGAAAAAAAGAGGACTTTTAAGAAAATTGTAAAGAATGAAGATTATGTATATTTTGGCTGTAACCTCTGATTGCCTCACAGTTATTAAACTCCATCAGTGTTGCCAAGCAGGGTGAAGGTAATGAAGCCTTAAATGGCAAGACAATTACGACATATGGGATCTGATGTCTTGTAGGAACGGTTTTGTTTTATTACTGACTTTTTATTGTTAGTGTCAGTGATGCGAGAACACTTGACTGTCATTTGTCAAAGAGTTGGATGTCACTGTTGCCTTTGGGACAGATGTAAGTGCTTTGTACTTTAGTGATATAAATAGACACAGTGCACTGATAGAAGAGCCTGTTTAAGCTGGTTTCTTGAGTGAGGTGCACCATAAACATCCTCCTCTGTATGTACCATGTAATATATATTGAGTACTCTGTAAATTGTAAATGCTTTTGAATATTCTGACTTTAGAAGAAGAAAAATATAACTGGTGTTTTGATATGGTCATTTGGATCCAAGTCTTTTTTTCTAGTTTTGCTACATGTTGACACTTACATATTTGTATTTATATGTTGTTATAATATACGGAAAGGTTTACAACATTTTAGTTGCTTTGGGTTGATGTTAACAACTTTGTGCTAACGTGACGGAAGGATTTCCACCAATACATATGCCTGATAAAAAATCTCCATACATTACTCAAACATGGGTTATTGTGTGTGGCGGGGGTAACTTCTACAGTTAATTAAGGGCCATACAAAATATTTTAGACAGGGTAGCCCACGGCAACATCTGAGGGCTAGTTGGTCCCCTCCGGTCTAAACTGAACAAGTCATCTCTCGACAACTATTGGATGAAATGTAATTAGATTTTGTATAGATGTTTATGAGACAAATCCTACTGACTGCTACTAAGAAAGTGCTGCAGAAATTAGCTAGCAAATGTTGCACTTCTGGTTGTTTCGTGTCAAGCGAGCATGAGTCCGCGTTCAGTTTAGTAGTGGAGCGGTGGAGCCATGAAGTCATGTGACTGTGGTCTAGTTGGTTTATAGCATAACATTAGCTTTTTGCTTCTGATAACCAGCGCAATGTTAACTTCCAATGTCGGCCTGCAAAATGTCATACCTGCTGCGCTCTGTAGACTTCCACTGACCTCATGTAGTGCCACCATCAGGGGGGATTTTTTGTGTGTGAAATGAATTGGCAACCATTAGATATATTTACATTTAATTTGGCACATAATGTCAATTTTCACCAAATTATGAACCGTAATAACTTGTGTAACCGCTAAACAATTTCTCCAGTGCTATCCTCAAGTCAAATCTATAATTTATTGAATAGTCTGGTTGATCAAGTACTTTTCACTCAGTTATACTGTGTGTAAAGAACCAACTAGCAATTGTTAGCATGCTAACTTGCAAAGCAAAGATGCCAAAGGTCAGCATGTTAGCATTGTATTTGTAAGCATGTTAGCATGCTGACATTAGCAATCACACAACCCAGTCTCACGGCATTTCGTGTTATAGTCACGACATTATTAATCTATTGATTCGTGTTCACCAACACGATTTCCCCCTTTTTTTTCGTGTCACACAGAACAATTTTAAAAGCAATGTATTTATATTGGTAGTATGTTTCGTGCCTGTGTAGGTACCATATGTGCACGTCCTACCAGATCAGCCCGGGGTTGCAGTCGAATAGTCCATTTACCTTAGGAACCTTCCTAACGGAGTGAAATTACCCGGAAGTACCTCAGTGGCAGCCATGATAAGTGCCGTTCGAATAGAGTGGCGAAGTCCCTCCCCTTCTGGTGGACCTCCATGGGACCTTGGCCCTTTCTCACTTCTCTTATTTTTCATTTCCTCGTTCCTCGGTCTCACCGGAAGTTGATTTTGTCTGCGCCATCTTGAGTACCGTCCCAATGGCCTTATTTCTGCCGGAGGAGCGAGGAGCGATAATGGAGGAGTTATAATCGAGGAACCACCAGACCATCCTTCGATGAAATCCTCAGACACTCGCCACGCCCCCTTACTGTGTATCGCTCACTGATTGGACGATGCAGTGCATGCACTGATCTGATGCTTCTTGAAAATACATGAACCTCACGAGTCACTCCTCAGTTTATACCGTGTTTTGTTTCAATTAATGTATCATTTAGTTACAAATATGTGATATATCTGAACAACAAAGTGGTCAAAAATCATTTTATTCATTTTTTGGAAACATTTTCATGATCGCTTTTTTCGTTTTACATTTTCATTTATTGTCATTTCCATTCAGTCAGTCATTAAGTGCTATTTAAAATTTGCTACATATCCAAAAAAACAAACAAAGTGTGCAATCCAATGAATGTTAATCTAACTGAGTTTTGATAGATAACATATCTCTTTTTCTTCTCTCAATTATTTTATTTCTATTGTGCACTCTAATCAAAACAATTCACAGTTTGTCGTAAAACTGTTGAAATATAAGACTATGAAAAATACGCAACTAGAAAGACTACAAATCCCAGAATCCCGGTCCCACATGCTGGCTCTTACGGAACCGACTAACTCCCCTTGTGTGTATGTACAGCTTTCAACATGCACAGACTTGGAGTGATGTTAACCTCGTTTAATACTTTTCGCCTCATTCTGAAAGAAAGAAGTGAGATGTGCTAACGTGACGGCCGTCTTGGTGTTGGTGCGAAACGGGAGATGTAGGTCATTGAGCGGTTTCACACAAAAAAAGTGTTACTTCACAGTTTTACGACATTTTTTTTTTGACTTGTAAAATTATCTTTTAAATTGACAAACATATGTGTAATTCGTGGCACAATTCAAACGGGATCGAAAGATAATCTTTCTCTCTCCATTGACTTCAATGCATAACTTTTCCGAAATAAGGTCCCATGGAGCTCAACCGGAAGGGGAGGGACTTCGCCTCTCTATTCTCTAGATCAGGGGTTCCCCATGGTTTATTAGGGCCCGAGCACGGAGCGCTAGGACCCAACGGCGTCCTAGCACGAAGTGCGAGGCACCTATTGTTATTGGTGGAATTCTTCTTATTATTTTTCTGCTGGCGTTTCCTGTTTTTGAGGCCTTTAGGACGCTTAAAAAGTTGTATAATTTTGCACGGACGCCAGGACTGGTGAAAACTACCTTATTCTGGAGTCAATGGGTTAAATATTCCAACCTGCTCACTAGCGCCACCTATCAAAATCCCATTTCGGAATAAATTTACAAAGTCGCACCGTAACTCCGAATGACCTGAAATTTTGCACACATATCCGGGAGAAACTGCTCTACAATTAATCAAATTCGTCAGAATCGTCACTTCCTGTACTGACAGTGGAGGTGTCCTGACAGTGGAGGTCTGCATCGGAACTGTCAGGCAGACCCCTCTCGAACCTCACGGGAGTCACTCCTCAGTCCATACCATGTTTTGTTTCAATTAATGTATCATTTAGTTACAAATATGTGATATATCTGAACAACAAAGTGGTCAAAAATCATTTTATTCATTTTTTGGAAACATCTTCATGATCGCTTTTTTCGTTTTACATTTTCATTTATTGTCATTTCCATTCAGTCAGTCATTAAGTGCTATTTAAAATGTTAATTTGCTACATATCCAAACAAACAAACAAAGTGTGCAATCCAATGAATGTTAATCTAACTGGGTTTTGATAGATAACATATCTCTTTTTCTTCTCTCAATTATTTTATTTCTATTGATATTAATCAAACTATTGTTCGTTTATACATTTTAAGAATGGTGTTTATCTTTTTTGAGAATGAGTTCTTATTTTATTTTATTTATTTGGGTCTACAACAGATGATACAAATGTTTGTGTCAGTAGGCTAAATGTGTACTAACAGAGGCGGGGGTGTGTGTGGAAATAATGGGGACAGAGCTGGCTGCTGTCAGACGATCAGCTGTGCAGCGTCATCACAAACGGACGTCGCTTCACGTGACGGTCCGGAGGAAAGGACGTCCCATTGCTCTTAAAACTATAGGTTACTTACGTAACCCCAGTTCTCAGAGTAACATGAAGTGAGATTTCTCACTATGGGATGCGCCTCATCGCGGAGCAAACAGAAGCATCAATCTCATTACGCCAATCCTGATTGGCTGGTGATCTTGACGTCAACGTCAGGGAATCACCCCCTATAAGTAGCTTGCGCCACGACGCATGCGTCATTCAAAATAAGCACCTCTTCTCGCTTCACCATAGCAAGGAGGGCTGTCTGGTGAGACATCTCACTTCATGTTACTCTGAGAACTGCGGAAGTTTATGAAGAGTATTATGCAGAAGATGTGATGCAGCATATTTTTGGTATATTCATTTTAATCTCACCAATATATAAGAGGTGTATTGCATCATGTTATCCCTAAATATATGTGTGGGTATATACATTCCTGTGTATTAATAGTTGAAGGAACAAAATACATTTTTCCTCTTAAATATAGAGGTTTTTTATAGATTCCTGAAACAATGTTCCCTTTTTCTTTAAAGTAGATTAGCGCAATAGTGTTTTTCTTTCACTTTTACCCTTTTCATCAAAAGGGTGGTTTAGGCTATTTTTGAGGGGTAAAATGCAGAATTACTTGTGAGTTCTGTTTTGAGTGAAAAGATTACCCTTTTGAGTGTTTTTCTTGGTTAACCATTAGATATAGTGGCTAAATTCGTTCTAAGTTAATTGTGCGCATCCTGCAGGCCTTGAGAATTTAGTCACACAGTTAAGAGAGACAATGGTCCTTTTAGACTAAGGGTGAGCTTACTTCGGGTGAATAAAAGTTCAGAGATGATTGGGGGGGTATGAAGACAGTTAGGCTTGTTGGTGAGCTAGTTCTGAGGATGTCATGGGATAATGACTGTTATATTCCCAACAAGTATGGCTTTCATAAAGAAACACATGACTTGGGTGATAAGATGTGTTTTGTTGTAAAATGGGCCCGTTTGGTTTTCTGCTGGCCAGCGCTGGGTCATTGTGACAAAGCATATTTTGCGTCTGCCAATGAGAGGACCTGAAAAGATGACCAGCTGACCTCACCCCTTCCTTCTGTCTTCTGGTATATGTTCTGTCGATTCCTGAGTTCGGCCTCTCTTCACATGCTGTCAGGACCGGAAGGATCTCCGCAGCACGCGAACAGGGCAGAAGTGGGCCGGCTACTTCTTAAAACATTACAATATGATTTTAGTATATTGTATTATATGGTATTGTAATGTATTATAGTGCATTGCATTATTACCTTTGATAATTAAAACAGATTGTTTAAACTGGTATCTGGGTGTTCTCTGTCTGATTTCCTTCCTGTTATGATTTTAAGCAGGACTCGTCAAAACGACACGCGGAGCCGAGTGGGGTTGTAAAAACCTCAAAACTCCAACAAAGTGGTGACCCAGACGTTTACGAGTGGGCGTTCAGAGGGAGTCACATCAGCAGCCAGCGGACGAAGCTGTCCAGGGGTGACACCTCGAAATACTTTCTGACAACTAAAAACAGAGCTCTATACAAAATATCA